ATGGGGTGTGTGTTGCTGCTACAGCTCCCCAGTAGCCATAGGCCTCCTCCCCCAACCAGCCACTTGTTGGGTTGGTGGCTGCCTGTGGGAGCCTGCGTTGGCACTGGGCACGTCTGCAGATGCCTATTTGCCTGTGCATGCCCATATATGTTTGGGCTATAGTGGCTGCTCTAGTCCCTCCACATCATTCTTCCTGGCTCCATGGTGTGGAGTCAGGGTATCTATGCAGGATGATTGGGAGTGGAGGGGGGCATCTCCCCCCACTCTAGCAGCAAGCAGAGGGGAAGGGGAGAGGGAGGTGTGAACCTATCTACAGCACTATTAATAGCCTACATGCCAGGCCACCAAGAACCAGCTGTCACCGTGGAAACCATTCCTACTCCCCCCCTCCCCCAGCCTCCATAGGGTGGGACTTAGGCAGGGCAGAAGCACCCCCAGTCCATCTTTCTTTGTTACCTTCCTTTCTCCCTTTGTCTCCCTCCTTCATCTGCTTTTCCTCCCTTTATCTGCCCTTCCCACCTCACCTCACCTCACCCATCCCCTTTCCCATTGCTTCCTTCTCCCTTTTCCTTCTACTTCCTTGACATCCCTTGCTCTAAAACCCTGCCCATCTCTTTGTCCTTTCCTCCTTCCATTTTTCTTTCCCTCTCTTCCTATCACTCCTTTTACCCGTCTCTTCTTCCCTTTTTCCCTTTTTTTCCACTGCTCCTCGTGTGTGTGTGTGTGTGTGTGTGTGTGTGTGTGTGTGTGTGTTTGACAAGAAAGGCTGGGCTTTCTTCAAAGCATTAAGGACAAAGTTCAGGGGCCCCAGGAAGGTGAGGCCAAAGCCCAACTCCGATACTCAGAAATGTGCATAGTGCTTGTTGCTAGATAGATGGCTAGGGATAGAGAGTCCCTGCTGGTCACCCCAAGAGTTCTTTGGGGGTGTCTCAGGGATACGCAGATCTGCTGAGTAGGACAGAAGGCAGTGGGAACCTGGCATGGTGCCCATAGATGCCGCATTGGCTTCTTGTCCCTGTCCCCCCATTGCAGAAGTACTTAAGCTTAATGAAATGCTTCCCCCTCTTCAAGCTCCTTGCCCACACTGCCACCCAGCAGCTCTTATCTGACAAAGAGGGAGTGGGTGGCCAGCCCAGCCAACAGGTGGGTCTTGCTGTCCTGCTGTCCAACTGAGTGTCTGAGTCCCATAGCTCCACTGCCTCTGCCTCTTTGGAGCTGAACCTCCCCTTTGCAAGGGATGTGTCAAGAAGGAGCTGGGGAATATTAAGCTGGACTCTAGGAGGAGGAGAGAGAGCCTTTCAGGGTGGCTATCCATGCTGCATCCCCCTTCCGCACTAACCTTTTCCTACCCACAGCTAACACAGGTCACATGGCTTGTGTTTCCCTACATGCTGGGCCTCTGCCTGGGCTCTGTGTAGCCTTAGAGGCCTACATATATCCCTGGAGAGACTTTCAGGAGTTCCCAGGGGTTTTGGACTCTTGCTAGGTACCAGGCAAGAAGCCTTAAGAAGTGAGGGCAGCACCTTGGTCCTTCACTGTGAGGGGCTAACCATAGCCTGGGCTACCACTGACTGGCACTAGGGCACATTCAGCCCAGCACAGAGGTGGGGCAGACAAGGACCCTGCCCCTCCTCCCCATGGGCACGTGCAAACCATTGGCAGCGTCCAGACACATTTGGAGTTAAGGCTGAGCCAGGGAGGAGAGAGGGGAAATAAACAGGGTGGCTTAGGTTGGCATTTCCCCAGGTCTGCCCTGAAGCAACTGGTAGTGGTGGGATGTGGGGGGAGGGGCACCTCTAGCTCTATGGCCTGTGGCAAGAGCTTCCCATGCCAGTGGCTCCGGCTGGGGTTCCCTGCCAGGCCCTGCCCACAGCTGCTAATACTCATTCCTACACACCCTGGTCTTCTTTGCCTGCCCCCAAGGCCTGTTCCCCAGGGCTGCCCCTCTCTCTGCTTGCCCACTCCTGGGTCTGCCTCCTCCCCTCCCTGGGGGCACTTGGGCCTCCGGCTGGCGAGTGGATTTTTCCAGCTTCTGTAAACAAGTGGTGGCTGTGTGCCAGGTAGGCAGGAGACAGGCGGGGGCAGCACCGCAGCCAGGGTGTGCCAAGCACTGAGGCACAGCCCGTGGAGGGGGGCACAGAGAGGGAGACACCCAGACCCAGAGAGAGAGAGAGAGAGAGAGAGAGATTGATTCAGACAGACAGACAGACCAAATGAAGGCTTGCTGGGTACAGCAGTGGGAACAGAATAGCCTCTATTGTTCAACCCAGCCCCCACAGTACCCCTCACCCCTGCCCCTCTGTTCTGGCTGAGAGCAGCAGGCCCCAGTGCCCAGCCCTGGGCATCCCCACCCACTACTTCTTCTCCCCCACCTCCACCCCTTAGGGCTGGCTATGCCATTATAAATTTATAACAGGAATTTCTCCACAAGCCAAGAAAAACTTGACCTACTTTCTTGAAGGCTCCCTGGGCTAAGGCTCCCCATTCACCCCGGCCCCGCCCCCAGTCTCCTGTCCAGCCCCCAGTGTCCAGTCCTGGCCTGGGGGTGTCAGAGATAGAATGTGCCACTTTTCTGTGCTCCTCCTTCTTTTTCCACCTCAGAGGCTTGCCTGAGTACAGAGGCCCTGTCCTGCTGCCTCTGGCCCTGCCCAGTGCCCTGCCTTATCTCTACCCCCTCCTCTCACCCTGACTCCTTCCTTATCAGCTTTTGAGGGTAGGGCAGGGGGCCCAAAGCAAGGTCTCTGGTGCAGCAGCCACGTGATGAACTTGTATGTGGGGAACTGCACCCTTTGTCCCCCTCCCATATGCCTGCACCTGCCTGAATGCACGCAGACAGGACACCACAGGCCTGCAGCCAGGGTCAGAGGGGCAGCTCAGAGGAACTGGGAGTGGGAGCCTGGTCTGGCATTTCCCTGGCTCCAAGTAGCAGAGTAAGCCTAGCATTAGAGCCAAGCTGTGAAGTTATAATCCCTGAGCCACCAGCTTCCTAGCTGCCTGAACTTGAGGGGGTGACCATGGGTTCTGAGACTCAATTTCCTCCTCTGGAGAGTTCTTTTTAATTTATGTTATGCTGTTTTTGAAACAGAGTTTCATTGTATAACCCAGGCTGGCCTTGGACTTGTGGCAATCCTCCTGCCTCAGCCTCTTGAGTGGCTATGATTATAGTCACATATGGTCAACCTGGCTCCATCTGCAAAGGTTTTTTTTAAATTTTTTTAAATTTAAGTTTTTAAATTTTTATTATTTTATTTTATTGGTTTTTTGAGATAGGGTCTCCCTGTAGCTACAGCTGGCCTGAAACTTACTATGTAGACCAGACTGGCTTCAATCTCACAGAAATCTGCCTATTTCTGCCTCCCAAATGCTGGTATTAAAGGAGTGTGCCACTATGTCCAGCCCAAATTTTTTATTTTTAGTATTATTATTTTTGTCTTTTTGAGACAGGGTCTCCATGTAGCCCCACCTGGCCTGGACTTGCTATGCATACCAGGCTGGCCTTGAACTCACAGAGATCCACCTGCCTCTGCCTCCCAAGTCTGGGATTAAAGGCGTGCATATTTATTTTTATTTTATGTATATGAATGTTTTGCCTGTATTCTGTCTACATGCAATGCCCAGGGAGGCCAGAAGAGGGTGTCAAATGCCCTGGGTTCCTGGCTGGCTTCACAGAGACTATGTGGCCAAAGATGACCTTATGACCTTGAATGCCTGTTCTTCCTGTCTTTACTTCTTGAGTGCTGGAATGACAGGCATGCCTGGCTCTAGCATCTGCAGAGTTCTCATGCCCCTTCAGAAGGCACATATCTATTCAGTCAACAACACATGTTAGTTTCCCTCCCGTTTTCCCATCCAGGTAGATGGCAGCTCATCTAAAACAGCTAATTCTTATCCTTAAACTGGACAGCAGAATTTGGGACTCCCAGTGAGAGGCTTTAAAATCCTTAAGGGTCCAGGTTTGGGGCATCAACAATGGACCCACAGCAGGGAAGATCCATTCTCCTTTGTCTTTCTCCATTAAGGCACTGAGGCAGGGAGGGGAAGGCTCTGTGGCTTTAAAAAAAAAAAAAAAGATGGCTCTATGGTGGTGCAAAATTTTAATCCCAACACTAGGGAGGGAGAGGCAGGGGTCTCTGTGAGATCAAAGTTAGCCTGATCTACATAATTCCAGACCAGCTGGTACTGGCTGCCCTTTGAGAGACCTGGGTTTGGTTCCCAACACCCACATGGCAGCTCACAACCATCTGTGACTCTAATTCCAGGGAATTCAATGCTCTCTTCTAGCCTCTATGGTCACCAGACGTGCACATAGTACACATACTTACAAGCAGGCAAAACACTCATACACATAAAATAAAAATAAATATTTTTTTAAAAAGACGGTAATGCCAGGCATAGTGGCGCACGCCTTTAATCCCAGCACTTGAGAGGCAGAGGCAGGCAGATCTTTGTGAGTTCAAGGCCAGCCTGGTCTAGTTCCAGGACAGCTGGGGCTACAGGGAGACCTGTCTCAAAAAGACCAAAAAAAGAAAAAAAAAGAAAAAAAGTAACATAGGTATTCATAATCTCTGCATGGTGTCCCTGTACCCCATCCTGCTTTTATGGGTACCCCTATGCTTGTCTCCAATCCCCTATAATACTGATATGTCTTAGGAAATCTTGGTTAAAGGGTGGTAATAATAGCTAATATTTAATAGACACTCATAAAGGACCAGGCATTTGTTTGAATGTGAGTACTGAGACTTATTACCTGCTGCATAGATGACCTCATTCTTTCCCTCCATCCCTCCCTGTGTCTGGGACTTGGGATGTGGCTCTCCAACCTTGTCTGCTTTAGCTGTTATACAAGGTTATTCTGGTCCTATTCCTGTACCTGCCCTCCACACCTGCTGCCATCTTGCTATGGGCCCCAGAAAGCCCAAATGTTGCCACCAAAGAACTGCCCACTCACCTACCCCTATGGTATTTTATTACCCCTACCTCTTTCTTTCTTCTCTCTACAGGGATCTCTGGACAGGACAAGACTCTGAAGATTCTTCAGCCCCTAACCCAGGACCCCTCCCCCCCACTGACCCAGCTTGCCCCCCCTAATTTTCCCACCTGCTACTCCCTGGCCCCTCCCACCACCTGCCCCCTCTTTGGGGCGCAGGGCATGGTGTGAAAGGCCAAGTGCTGAGGCGGGTACCATGGGTGCTGTGCCCTAGGGCCTGGGTGGTGGGGGGTGGGTGGCCTGTGGGCGTGCCGGGGGGGGCAGTGTGCCCACCCCAGTCTCTTGGCGTGCTGGAGGGCATCCTGGATGGAATTGAAGTGAATGGAACAGAAGCCAAGCAAGGTGGAGTGTGGGTCAGACCCAGAGGAGAACAGGTAATGAATGGGTCTGGCAACTTGGTAGTACCAGCCCTTAGCAATAGGAATGGGTACCTTTCTGGGAAAAAGAGAGCTGATGCCCACTTGAAGGGGGAAATTATAGAGAGCAGAGTCATTACAGGCAGGTGGCACGTGGTCCCTTCCTCACTGGTGCTGGGCAGTCTCAAAAATCCCCATTATCCCCTCTATCTTTGCTGCCCTCATCTGAGCATGTGTGATTCCAATGGCCTATTTTCTTCTTCTCCCTACCAGCCCATCCACTATCTGACCACAAACAAGTGTGTTGTCCACAAGCCACAGTGCATATAACATGACATTTCCGGGTACAGGCACCAATAACTATTGGTCACAGCCCACACTTATTTTTGGAATCTATTGGGAACCCCACATGTTCTTCCTTGTTCATGGTCAAGGGCAGGCACTGCATGGGGCTCCTCCCAGGAAGTGGAAGTGCATGGTCAATCATGAAGCTTTTGCTTACACGTGGGTGACACACACAGCTAGGGGTGGGTTCCCTCTAATCTGTACTACCCTAAAGCAACCCAAAGGGTCTCTGCCATTCCCATCAGCTCCAAGTGGTACCTTCCCATTTGACATGGTATCCTAAGAGCTGGGTACAGCTTGTGCCTATGGCCAGGGAAAGAGTAGGGGTGGGGGTGTTCTGGGGAGTAGTGTGGTTGGCCGTTGTCTAGGAGATCAGATCCTGAGCCAGGAGGCTGGAATCTTGGCCAGGCAAAGCCCTTAGGCCCAAGACTAGTTCCCTGGAGGAATAGAGAAAGTGGACAGGGGTCCTACAGGTAGGGTCCTGAGTAAGTTCCTTCCCCCAAAGCCCTCATCCTACGTCATCCCACGCTAGACTACGAGAAGTCTGGCTTGTCCTGTGGAACTATCACTTGCATCCCTTATATTTCCCAGCCCAGACTTCTGTGGGTCTAGGAGAGGCTGCCCTTAGGTCTTGGACAAAGGCAGGAATGCTGGTTCCCAGTCCCCACGGCGGCGGCATGCCTCTTCTCGGCCTCCCCTCCCCCATGTCTCTGTGCCACCTTGTGGCTGTCTGTGAAACTACATCCAGAGACTATGAGCCTTGTACTTGCTGAAAACCCAGCTAGGGCCTAGGTGGCCTGAGGTGTCGTGTCCCCCCCCCCCCC